TTTCGCCAGCACCTGTGACCGGCATCTTCAGAGTGCAGGAGCACAGACAGGAGCAGTTAGGAAACAAAACTTCCAGAACACGGCCACGCAGCCCGGAAGACCCACACCATCCAATCATGAAAGGGCTCGGACGGCTGGCTGCAAATGGCGAGGAGCGGCCGCGTTCCATTCCAGAAGCCTATGAATTAGAAAGGCTACCAGTCCCGTCCTCCCCAGCTGCCCTGGCGATTGGCCGACAAGACGGATGTTGCAGCCTTAAATCGGAAAGGCTGAACAAAGGAGGACGTTGAGGTTTCTATGATGAAGGGCTGTATCTTCTGCTTTGATCTGGGGAAAATATTGGTTGGAGGACTGGAACTACCGAGTTGGCTGGAAAGCTACAGGATGCAGCTGGAAGTTAAGGCGCTGCATTCTCACCTATGAAGGATGTTAAATGTAGCAGGGCTTGTGCCAGCATCTAGCGTGCAGAGGCATTTACCCAGATCTGAATAGGTGCCCAGGAAAGCCCCTTTGGGGGTGACACCTTGCCAGCCTTCCCTAAGGGTCTCAATATTAGCCACCCCCAAGAGCACTGGGTGCTGCTGTTCCCCATCTTGCCCTTCCACTAACCAGCATGTCAGAGCAACTAATGAGCTGCTACTCCCTCTCAGAGCTCCCAGGGTTGCTTAGGAAGCCAAATGCCAGATGGAAGAAGAGGCCAGAGACTACACCAATCTGGGGTCCTAGGAGAGAATGCTGCTCAGCCAGCCCAGTGCCTAAATATCCTCTAAGCCTGTGCTAAGAGCATAAACATATATAATGTATATGCCAGCTTAATTATATTAAATGCATTGATGTTAGAGGACTTTAAACGTTTAATGACACATAGGAAGTTCCAGCATATGGAGACAGGAGCTTTAATTTATCTCTCCCCAACTATAAATCTCAGGAAAAGCACCCCCACACTGCAACTTAGGCTATTTCTGTTTTGAAATCCCATTGGTGTCAATGTCAGCATTTTCCTATTGTTAACTGTAATGCAGGATAACACTTTTCCTTAATAGCCGATAGCTGAGGAATACCATGATCCTAATGAAAATCACTCCCTCCGTTACATTTTTACAATTCCCTGAGTTATTAATGTGCACAATGTGTAGAATATAGATAACCTAATTATATTAAATTTCATGGAATGGTAGTAAAACGTATTTTGCGTTTTGTTTATGATGCCATGGAACCTGAAAATCCATAGACATTTCAGTATCTTCCATAATTTCAGAGCCAAAACTGATGGGACATTATTTGTGCAAATACTTGGGGGGTTAGGGTTAGGGGTTTTAAAGGTTTTAAAACTAGCGTACCG